GGGTCTGTACCCTAGCTGCACTGATGAGGCCTGGAAGGATCCGTCTGCAGATATTGTGATTCCTTCCAGTGGATGCTTTTTTTGTAATCTTAAAAAAAAAACCCCCCCCAAAAAAACCATAAGAAACGAACAGAACATACAAAAACCTTACCGAGGATAATGCAAGTTTATTGCTTGTTTATACTCATTGAAACTGCTTTTAAACTTTCATCTAATAGCAGTTAAAACTGCTATTAGATGAAAGTTTATACCATTCTCTGTACAATTACTGTAATTCTAGGAAAGACTTTTTTTATTCCTTGTTTCGTATACTTATTTTTTTAAAGATCATCAGAGGATGGCGAAATAAAAATAAAATTTTGTTTACCTACAGTATTTACAATAGTTTTGCCAAAATCATCCAGACGGAGGAGAAAATAAAAATAAAATTTTATTGGTGAAAGTAGAACAGGATAGTTATATGATTCAAAATTTTTATATAATTAGGAAGAAATATACAGTACATCTTATCTTTGGAAATTTCAAGGCAGCAGAGGGCGTAATATAATAAAGAAAATTGTTTTTCTGAAATTTCCACGTTTTCTTGGCGGCGGGTGTGCTAATTGGCCCTAAATGAAACTTTATTTTTATTCGAGTTTAGCTAAACAAGGTATGAAAAATGGGTCGCCTTACAAAACAGTCATACACACAAGATGCATTACTAAGGTCAGGCTTATACTAGAAACCTAGAATCTATGTTGTTTTATACATTATAATCTTTGTTTATGGTTTTACTAACAGATGGGCGACTACAATATAGCCATTGATGAAATGAAATATCATTGATTTAAATGATGATTTTGCCTTTGGTTATGATAAACTTCTACAGTATTGGATCCTTTGTAGGAAGTCCAGTTATTGGTGAGTGCTATCCTATCATCATATCATTATATTATTTTTCTTCCAAGTTTCACATACCATAATTTGAAAACTATTGCATGAACCAAATATTCTGTACTGTATTGAAAATTGAAATTATGAAAAAATAATAAAAATGCTGAAAATTTAAGTGCTCTGTAATTATTGTAGCACAGGGTATTAGGAAAGCAAAGACTCTGTAATATTAAAAACAGGGGTCCCAAGTCTCCCATGGGTACTAGAAATCTCCAGGCAATCAGGACAGCCTCTGCATTCCTGTGACCAAGCCAGAATCTATAAAAAATATCGATATTAATTAAAAATTGCAAAGAAAATGTGAGCTGTCGTGACATATTAATGAGTCTTGTGGTACGAAAAATGACTTATTGATATATTTAGATAGATGAATATATTTATAAGCTTTATTTTGGTGTTTAAGTCATGTTCCTAGGTTTAGAGTAAAACCGGAGTAAGATCATTTTTAAAGTTTAGATGTCTAAAAACATACTTAAAAGAAAATCAACCATAAAGATATACAACTGATAAATTTTGGGTTGGTTTTCCTATTCATTTTAAAAAATAGCTTTAAAAAACGTGCCTCAAAAACATGATTACATTAGGTAACTCAATGCGGAACTTTTGCCACTATGAAATATACATATTATACTTATCAGAAAAATTGAAACCCAATTTTTGTCACAATAGGGCTTCAGATATACTGTATTTTCGTGAATAGTATCAAATTGACCTGGCGTACCACAAGACTCATTTTGTCACGACAGCTCACAAATGTTTTTTTTTTCTAATGGAGTTCATTAACACATTGACTGCCAGACCATTTTTAAAGGTTCCTTCCTGTGTGTCAGAACAAGTTTACATGTACAAACATTAATTTTTATCTAGTTTATATCATCAAAATGATGTGTCTAATCAATTGGGGGAAGATATTAGGCTGCGAGTAATCTCATCAACGGCACTGTGACAGCACTTTTTGTTGACTATGCCAAGTGCGAATTTTCTCGTCCGCATCTTGGATGGGTGGTTGTATATTGTATATCAGCATCAGCATTGGTGTTTAGTTATGATATAACAGTGCTTGAGGGCACATACTCTTGGTGTTTATAGTTAATTAACCAAAATTTATCCAGCTTCATTTGTGTTTCATTTGGGTAAAATTTCATTCCTCTTCGGTTATGTTCAAATTTTGTATCACTTTGATAATTCATTTCATTTGGGATTTGTCAGACTGGTTGAGTTGCTTCCGCAGGTTTCTCCCCCTACTAGCGCAGACAACTATCAATTAAACCAATGCTAATTGCAGTCTGGTGCTGACAGTCTTAATGCACTATAATGTCTAATTACAGTACATTCCATTATTGAGTTCTTTGTATCATTATTTTGGGCCTAGGCATAACTGGATAGGCCTATATCTATTCTTTATATTACCATGATCAATGCCTGAAAAGGCTCATCAAAAAAACATATCTGCTCAGAGAGATGTTGATCGATTATGCTCTTCAATTCCGCTGCATTTGGCCCCTGGGTATGGGAGAAATATGTTGTCAAAAAGTACAATTACCTTATAAATAACACTAGGCCTAGGCCTAAACTTCCCTATTGTACTGGATCTAGCCTAGGCCTCCGTCTGAGACTGTGCTCAGCCTAGTCGATCACCCCAATCCTTCCACTTCCTCTTTCACAAGTTTCAAATATCCTCTCACACTCTGTCTTTGTGTTTTGTGTACGAAATGAAAGAATTATTTAAAAAAAAAAAACGTATAGTAAACTTACCTTATGAATGGTGGTTGAAGTTATGAAACATGAGGTTGATTCTGGGTTAAATTATCAAAATTTTAAAAGATGAAAATTTCGCTTATAAATCAAAAACATATGTGGCGATATGATGACTATAAGCGGAGGGCAGCAGCGCCTCTCTAAAAATAGACTACGAATCAAACAGTGGGGAATTCCCCTACGACAAATTCTAAACAAAATGAACTCTTCCATTCTAAAAATATAACCAAAACCTTTGTGATTAAAATTACAGTAATTTTCAGAGAATTATAAATTATTTAAGTAAAGATCAAAATATATATTATTTATAAAGAAGATAGCCATACAATTACCATAGAGGTATACTGCCGTTCAATCAAGGTAAAAAGAAAATAAATACCTATTACACGATGGAACATGCCATTGGCTGCCACGCGACTGGACTCACAAAAGTTATTTTATTTAAAAACTTGGCGTCGACAAATATAGCACAGATAAATTGAAGATATCACTTGAACAGGGATTTTTATTGACTGAATGGACAGAAAGTATAATGAACAATCCTTCAAGCCATGAATCAACTTAGATTGATCAAAAGAACTTTGAGTATATCGATTGCGAAGCCTTCCATATACTGTACTGTTCAGTACGTATGAGACTAATCTTAAATATTGTGTCACGTGTGCCACTTGAAAAAAGATATCCAAAAATTAGAGAAGGTACAGAGACGAGCTACCAAATTGGTGAATAGTATTAAGTCAGATCCCTATGGAACAAGACTCATGAAATTGAAATTGTATCCGTTAGCAGTTAGAAGATTAAGAGGCCATTGAAGCATTTAAGATCGTTACAAATGAAGAGAACATTGACAGCTCCCATCTTTTTTTTTCATCTAATCCTGCTAGCACCACCCGTATTAATACCGTATTGCAGCTCTGTGTGAAAGGGGTTGTGGTCACAAATACAAAGTGTATAAGCAACCCCTCTATTTCAACTTCCTGGACCTGCCACAGTTGGAGTATCATTTCCGGGCTACATAGAAGGGTTATCCATCGGGGGAAAAGTGAAGTTTTCGTCGGGGAACCAATATCAAAAATAAACCTCATGATATATAATCCATTGAGGTAGTGGAGCAAGCTCGACTTCGACTTTGTTCAGAAATCTCTGGCTCCCTGGCCCCCAGCCTAGATGAGAGGAGCTTAGCTCAGTCGGCTAATCTGGTGGTAGCCACTGTGTGTGCACTGAACTGTGGAGATCTCTAGGTCCCTGGTTCAATTCCCATCGCTGCCTTCTCCTTGTGTTTCAGCTAGAGGGCTGAAAAACAAATTACAATAGTGCACCGTCTTTCGGATGAGACATTTAAGCCGTTGGTCCCGTGTGCATTATCGCCCATGTGCATGTTAAAGAACGCAGTACACTCTTCGGAAAAGAGTAGGGGATTGTCTCCCGGTGTACTGCCCCATCACCACCAGAAGGACCCCACTGGAAAGAAGTCTTCTTCTAGACTTTCGTGGGCTATCCTTGGTGGTTACACCGAATAGATTCAATCAATCAAATCCGAGTGCCATTTAGAAGTGCCATAATCATAATTTTTTCTTACCTCAGCCCCAACAGTTGTGGGGCTGAGGCGGGTGGACATTCTATTTGCGCAAGACCCTCCCAGGAACCCCTCTATTTCAACTTCCTGGACCCGCCACAGTTGGAGTATCATTTCCGGGCTACATAGAAGGGTAGTTTTTATCCATCGGGGAAAAGTGAAGTTTTCGTCGGGGAACCCATATCAAAGATAAACCTCATGATAAATAATCCATTGAGGTCGTGGAGCAATCTCGACTTTGACTTCGTTCAGAAATCTATGGCCCCAGCCTACCGTAGATGCTCGCATACTGGACCTTATGAAGTGACCCCCCCCCCGCACTTTCAAAAACGTTCTGCCGCCTTTGCTGCTGCTCTGTAATCGTTAAAATAGATATTATTGTTTGCTGTTTTTTTGTTGTACTACCAAAAATAAGTGAAGGTACTCTGTTTCAATTAAGTGTAAATTTATTTCTTGCAAGCTTCATCGACTCTGTTACCGATAGTTTAACAGGTAAAGAAGGTACCGTAGTTAAACATTTATGTAGGAATGTTTTAATACGAATTATATTATCCTAACACAATTAAATACTTAAAACAACCACAAGCTCTATGAAACATTCCAATCTAAATAAAATTACAGGTAAAGCATTTGAGAAAAACATATGTCCCATCAGGGTTTCAACCCAAGAATTTAAATTACCGTTTGGATACTCTACCAACTGAGCTTTAAAGCCAAGGGGATGCGTGAGGAGAAGGAGCGCACACACTCCCAAAAAATGTCACCCCCCACACCCCATTGGAAATGCCTGAAATAAAAAATACGCTCAAGTAGTTCACAGTGAATTTGCAAACCCTGTTATTTTTGTAATCTATTTATAATAATAATTAAAAAATTGGACTTGGTAGATGCAGATGCAAGATGGGTTTTGAAATAGGACTTTTCAGAATCCTTTATCATGGAGTTCACAAATATGCTTTTGACTGAGTACAATGTGGTCAGCTTCACCACTGAATGTCTCCATTTCTTTGTAGACACACCACTTTTGTGCTATTAAAGTTAATATAATAATATCTGCCTTGTACCAAGGTTGTATTAGCCTTTGTGTTTACTCTTTCTCAAACATTTTTTGTAACCTTTTGTACCTCTACCGCAGATACAGAATTTCATAACCAAGACACACTCTGATTGCAAGTGAAGAAAAGTCTGTGACAGAGTTAAGAAAAGTCCTGGTTATGACATGTTGACAACCTGGTAAAAACCAGCACCAGTGAAGATATCCTATAAAATGCAATCTCAGTTATCTCTGAATTTAATATCGATATGAAAGTCCCCAAAGATAAATTTTTCTGTGAAAGTGGAGGCCGGTGTAGTGCAGTAACATTTTCTTTTTCAAAAATATGAAAATTATAAAATCTAGACACCCAGATCACCATCATTTTGGCATTATTTCTATGTATGATTTAATAGTACACTGATAAATAAAATTATATTCTATATTGCATTGTATAATTATCAACTTTAATTATCACTGGTGGGGGTGTTTCTCCAAAACAAAGTTACTATCATGTGACTTAATATTATTTATTGAGATAAAATGTACCACTTGGCCTCTACACATATCAGGTTGTTGGCTGATGGGTGTCTCTGGTGGGCGTCTCGTTTTCCGTACGACTGTTGCAGGAGAGAGAGACATGTCATCTAGAGACTGATGTTCTTCTTGTCATAGAGAAAATAGAAATATTTTCTCTTTTAGTTTTAGCTAATTTGATTATCTTGTTGTTTTGATGTCTTTCTTTTTGATAGTAATTTTTATATTTTTTCTTGTTAGAATGCACCACTCCTGTGGTTGAGTGCCACTGATTCAAAAGTGAATATCTAAATAAATTATTATTATTATGGTTGGTAGAGTATCCGAGTGGTTTTGAGGTGAGTTGGAATCCCAATGGAGACATGTAATAAAATTACATTTTAATTATTGACAATGTACCCTGCTGACTGAGTGATTTCTTACCAACAGAAATATAATAAAGTAAACGATGGTAACTAACTGTTATGTTCTTGGAAGGTTTTAGAACAATAAATAAATAACACACATAGGTTTTAAACAGCGTGAGTTACTTTAATTCCGGAACTCAAACAACACAAACAAAAACACAGCAAACTTTCTGTATTGTAAGATGGTCGTCAACGACGATGCACCGATAGGTGGCGCACTAACAGTTAACTTAATTCTCAGTGCACAACACTAACTTATACTACAATATGTCTTAATCATTAGTCTAAACTGTGCACCCACTATGTAAATTGTTAAAAGTATAATTTTCTATATAAAACACATCAAATTACTTTTAAAAAGTAGACTTAGAAATGTTACTTCTCTTATTTACTTAAAAACTACTTCAAAATCTAAATTTATAAAATTGTGATCAAATTGCATAAAAGATATTTATAAAAATCTGTAAAAATGTATTTTTATTTTTTTTTTGTGAAATATACATTTGTAATATTTATCAATTTTATCCAGTTAATTTGAAATACACTAAATCACATTCTTACCATAAGAACATTTAATGTTCAGCAACATACAATCCAGAGATTAAATTTCAAGTTGTAATAATTGATATTCCGTAGAGCAGCATATGTCTAATGGAATGCTTGGCACATTTTTTTTTAAATAACTCAATTTATATTGACACAATGTTGTTTCTTAATCTTGCTGTCTTCATAATTTGTTAGCCTTTCAGCATTTTAGCATTTCATTTTTTAAACATTGACAAAAAATAAATATACACAATGAATTCAGATGCAAACTCCAGATTATCATCAACATTAACATCCAGTCGTTGCTACATATTACCTTATCAGAAAATAAGTTGTGGTAAAATAATCTAACTACATTTGGTGATACAGTTTAAGAACTGTAAATAGTTTTTACTATCTTGCTGTTTGTCTAAAGTGAATTAATAACTACTTACTACGGAAGTGGATAAAAAAAACATAATACAAAGTATTAAATGTGTTTGTTCACATCCCACAAGCCCAACAGCTGAATGTTCTGTCTGAACTACTATATATTTAAATGATAAGCCGTAATAATAATAAAGATTTGAAACAGAGTTTTTGAACCACTGCATATATTATTTGTTTTGTTAATATGTAGACATAACATGCAAAGCAGTGTAAGTCTAATGTAATGCCTATACAAGTAGTCAAATATACGCATATTGACCAATTAGTTAATTAAAGTATCAATTTTAAATGAATTGTTTAACCAAAACATATTAAAGCAGATATGCATTTTTAGGTTTCAACCAGAGAAGTATGGTAATTTATGACCTTATGCCTTAAAACCCTCTGCCTCATTTACTGTAAGTATCTGGTTTACTGAATCTACTTCAAATCAAAATGGAACTACATATTCAATCATAGCTAACAAATTTCTTTTATTTTGATTGAAAACAAACTGAAAAACTATACTGTTTAACAGCACTATAAATATTAAACAATATATGCATATTATATATACAAAGATAAGTTTTAATTCCACTGGCTCAATGGCCAACCATGCCTAGTTAAAAGAGAGGAATTTTTGTAAAAATCAAACCTTATACTACCTAAATTAGTATCAACAGTTCAGTGGCCTAATAAACTATTTATCACTCTGCTTCCTGTACAGAACAGTTTAATTAATGATACGCAGTATAGATAAAATTAAAAATAGTGTTCACTGCCTAGTAATGTACTATCTTTGGGAAATGCAAAGTGGATGAACCTGTAGGACATCTATGATTTCTGCTGCATATTTGATAGATTATAGGGGAAAACAAAAAAATTCATAAGAATACATTTTGAAACTATCTTGCGCTGCATTCGTAGGCTCACAGCAATGGCCTGCTGGAACTTGCTGTGTTTTACATGTGCTCCCACCTTGTCATTTTGGGGTAACTTTCAAATGCCTTGATGCGTCGAGATGGAAATTTTCAACACCATCCCATTGAAAACTACAAAACCATCTATAACACAATGTGCCAGTCACTGAACATATGCCGCTTTGGGTACGGTCGGGTCTTGCACCAACATGAGTTAGCCAGTTACACTGGCGATAGCATAATACTGTATAATCTACATGTACTGCTACGCAGTAAACACAAAAAGTGTAACTAATAATACTGACTGATTAATAAGCAGGAATTTAACATGTAGAAAACACACTCCACCACAAGTAACCAGATTAAAAACAAAAAACAAACAAAAAAAACCACATGTCAGTTAATATTGCTTGAAATTAATGCATTTAAATTATCTTGTACTGCTAAATCTTCAGTGTTTCTGGTGATTGTTGAGATATCTTGATTAAAATTTGTATCATAAAATACATCAGAAGATGTTTGGTGAAAAGATGGTTCATCTGGGGTTACAGAAATACTAGATGTAGAAGAAGATGTCGACATTAACATCTGTACTGCATTGGATACACCATCAGTTTCCTCTGGGCTACTTCGATAGTCATGGCATCCAACTAGTCTTCCTTGAGGGGTTGATGATTGGTTTAGTGAACCTGCTGGTACATTGGGATTACTGGGAAATGCACCTTGGGCACATATGCCAAGATGGTTATTAGAGGAAAGAACTTGTTGTTTTGTGACTTGGTTTGTCTCAGCGATGTGATTCTCTACCAAATTGGCAGCATCTAGACGTTTAATTGCATGTAAATGTTTCACCAACATCTCTATTGGCTCATCTCTTGATTCCCAGACTTGCAGCACTGCACAAGTAGGTTCTTTAGATGTTGACTCCAACTTTCTAATCAGATGTTCAGACTTTAATTCACTTGCTAAGAATCTCCAATCATTTCCACCAGGCATATCAGGATCTAGCAATTGGCACAGTTGCGTCCGAAGTGCATAGGGCACCTTTGAAGGTAACGCAGTAGGTAAATTTGCACCTTGATGAATCTGTGTATTTGCTAGAAAATATGGATACACATTGGGTGGACATGAGAGTTGTCTTGGCACTGCATAATGAGGAGTTCTTAAACTTGAAGGAGGATTGCTGGGGTGTGGACCAGTGGAATGACTAACTGTATAGTAAGACATTTCGCTATGAAAAGATGCATGGCCACTATCTGTACTTGGATGTCGGTTTCCTATGGGAGTTTCAAAATCATTGTTTGATTGCTTTCCTCTATTTTCAGTCACACCAAAAGAAGAAGATAAACATTCAGCAGTAGATTTTCTTATGGGGGCCTGTATAAATGAAATGCAAAGACAGAAATACAAAGCATTATTTAAAAACTTTGAAAGACAAAAGCTAAAAAAATAACACAAAATATTGCATTAGTAGCATCATCACATAGTATCAATACTTAAATAGAAATCCATGTCAATAATATGAGTTGGTAGCACTTTCATAACTAACAATAATATATTTATCTCACAAGGTTTTGCCCAATCGTAGTAGCCTTATCAGGTGTAGTTGTACGTACAGTAGACAACATCTGATGAAACCACATTGGTTCAGGCAAAACCTTGTAAAATATTGTAGCGAAATTGCTAGGTTAATGGAACAGCCATGGGGGGTTCAGATCAATGCTCAGAAGAGCCTCATAAGAGAGCTATGATTGGCCGAATATTCTGATTGGAATTACAGTTACGTCACGGTAGCATTATTTTAGGGAAGAAATTGATCCTGGGTGGAGATTCGTTACCGGGAGCCCGTGCAGTTAAGACGTGACGCCGATTGAATCACTTGTATCTGGGAATTCCCTGTTTATACCACTTCTTGTACAGTAGGCTTATAATGAAGGGTAAGTAACCCGTTGTATAATTGTGCTTAATAAAGTGGCAGTAGCCAGCTAACTTAGAAACTGTTGTACATGTATGCTTGTTCAACTTAGTTTTACATCAAATTGGAGAGGTACACTTTCCATGAACCCTAGCTCGAAGGCATCCTGATAGACATCGACCTAGGAGGAACGTTACAACATATATTGCTACTGTAATCTTATCAGTGCTACCAACTGATTAATTTTACTTTTATTTCCAATTAATACTGCTTAAAAAAGTTTTGAATCATTAACAATAAATCATTAGTTACAATATTCATTTAGATGTAAGGAAATGTTTTTTTCTAAAATAATTATTGAATAAAAGAAGGATAAATTATTGTTATCTAGAAATATGCATAAAAATAGGACATTGATGAAGACAACATTCCATATATGGCTGATTATTAAAAGAGTAATTAAATCTTATGCTGTAGATTTGAACAAGTAAGGAAGAGGATCAAAGAACAAAGTTCTCAACCTTTTTCAGACTGGTTACATTTTTAAAGTGCTCAAAATGTAGGGAACCCACATGTACCTTGTATTAATTGAGGAATGCTATTGGTATCGAAAGTGTCCAACTATCTTTACCTCCGCAGTACTTGAGGCTAAGGCGACAAAATTTTAAGAATGTGGCCCCACTAGATGACATGAAATGGCAATCTTATCCCAGCAAATACATCACTAACACTGTGGTTATAGGTATGTCAGAAAATTATGCTAATACAATGTCGCAGAAACGTTACAATGTAATTTAGTTGTGAACTACATATTTAAGGTTGTACAAAAAAAACACCCCAATTTTTACACTAAACTGTAACTTTATTATAAAGTAATATAAAATCGTAATAGTTGGGTTATAAAATGCTTGTATAAACTCTTAAATGTCAAATTATGTCATCAAAAACATTTTTACTATCTCACCTACAAAAAAAAAACAGATGCACATCAAACCACTGTATGGGAAAGATTTTCTTTGTTTATAAATTATGAAAACAAACATTTTTGGCTGTTTTCTGTCTGGTTTGATTGATTAGCAAAAAATCAAACAATTCAAACAACATTTGAATCAATTTTTTTAAATAAAATTTCTGATATTTCAAGGTCCAAATTTTGTAACTCTTGGTCAAGGGGTTGAGAACCAGGTGCATGTGCACAACTTCTGAAGCCTTCAGTTCAATCCTGGTAAATACACAGGAATTATTTGTATAGAATGATAAAATATATTGTAAATTCTATCTGGTCTCACTCTAAATTTCAAAACATGCTTGATAATCATTAGACTAAATTAGCAACATGTCAGGTAATAAAATAAAGGACTTCAGATAGAGCATAGTGTGACAAACTTCAAGAGAATCTTATACATTTTGTAACGTCTTAGTGTAATAATTAGTGATCTAGGTACCGTATTTCAATACCTCATTCAGTTTTGTATGTACCATTATTGTATACAGTGGAGACCGTCAAGGGTAGACTTGCCACAAGTCTCTTACTTTTTTTCAATTAAATTAGGTATGACGCACACTAAGTGCAATAAAAAGCGAGTGGACCATCTCTTAAGATGCCAAACTCAACAAAAGATTGATAACAGGCTCACAAAGGCAAACAGCGCCTTTGGCAGGCTGTTCAAAAGACCCTGGGACAAAAAGAATCTTTAAAAAAGCACAAAGATCAGTGTGTACAGAGCTGTTGTATTGAAAACCCTCCTATAGCTGCATCATGGGTCATTTATAAACAAAACACAAAACAAAAAGATAAATAATAATAATAATAATAATAATAATAATAATAATATAAGAGGGCTCGAATAGAAACATGATGTTATAATCATATCAAGCATAGACCTTCATTTTCAGTTGTATAAAAAAAAGTGTCTGTATCAGGAACCTCTTGTAATATATATATATGTAAGTTTGTTTGTATCACTGCATAATTCACTTTCATATACAACAAAAACATGTTGTATTATGTATCTTCAATTTTCAATACTTGATGTACAGTACATAAAGTAATAATACATCTATGAAGTAGCTGTATTTTATGGATTCACCATCACTGAACATAAAAAATACAACAATTTAATTATAGTGATTTTGAAATTTACCTTTACTACATTTGAAAATTCCAAAAGCTCCTCTTCGCCGTAGTCAACTTGCTGGACAAAAATTCTGCAATAAAAACTGTTCATATCTCCTTTGTTTGCAAAAATGTATTGGCAATGCCCAAAGTCTTTTCTCCATAGTCCTTTCAGCAACTGTAAATATAGCAATATAAATGTATGCAAGTTGCATTGGATATTGCAATTTTTACCATTTTGTTCTTCACTGTTTTACGCAGGATCCCATTGGAAATAAGAAAAATTTGAAATTATTGATTTCTTTTTTGTAAAAACCATTGGAATGAAATTCGTTTTGAATTTTATCACAATTCTTTTTTAACTGACTGGCACTGGTGTATACACATCAGTAGTCATGACATCATCAGTTGGTCGATGACGCCTCGGTCTTTGTTCATGGTGTGTCCTTTTTGTCTTTTTATATGGATCGCTTCTCTAATATGTCGTTTCTTTTGATGTAGCTCTTTGTCCAATATGCAGGCATCTCAATTTAGTACATGAGTATGTTGTGTGACAAGGTCTGAAATGGCGGATGATCAGGAAGCCCTGTTCATGACCCCACCCGTGCGTTCGTCGACATCTTAGGTGGTCGTGAATGCATGTACTGAATACCTTCCCTGTTTTCCTAAAGTGGACTTGTGGACAATAAGGACAGCTGACTTGGTAGACGACTTCGCAGTTCTTCATCTTGTCGATTTTGTCTTTTGGTTGGACAATTTCGCCTCTGATTTTGTTTTGAGGGATGAAGAAAGTGCCGATGTTGTAAGTGGAAAGAATCTTTTGTATTCGTTGGACATACCTTTGATGTACGGAATGCCCACACTACCTCTGACCTTGGTTTTATCTTTATGCTTCTGAGGACCTACGTCGATGTTTCTTCTCTTTTTACTTTTTCAAAGGACCAGTCTGGATACTTGCAGTTCTTCAGTGCTTCTCTGATGTTGGCGAGTTTACTTTTCTTCTCATCAGCTTCTGACACAATCTTATCTGCCCTGTCCACAAGAGTGTTGGTTACCCTAGCTTGTGTTCGAGTGGATGATGTGAATTAAAATGTAGAAATTGATTGGTATGAGCGGCTTCCTGAATACGGATGTAGTAACCATTCCTTTGTCTCTGAGTGTTAGGAGCATGTCTAAGAATGATAATTTGTTGTCGTCCATGACTTTTGTGGTGAATTTAATGTTGTTAGTAGTGTCTATGTTGTTTAAATGCGTATTCAGTGTTTGTGAAGTACCTTTGGGAATGATAGCCAATACATCATCAACATACCGTTTCCAGACAGACTTGATGTTATGTTGCACTATATTTATTGCATGTTGCTCTAACCATTCTACAGTAGGTACAGGTTGGCCATTATGGGTCTGAGTGAGCTGCCTATCGCCATACCTTCAAGTTGTTGTACATTTTACCATCAAATGATAAGTAAGTTGTGGTTACTACAAATTGAAGGAGTTCAATGATGTTATCTTTTGTTTAGTTCTTTCTTTGAAGGTAGCATCAGCTTTAAGAGGTCTTTCACTACTTTCAGAGCCTCTGTGACAGGAGTCTTATTGCATAAATATACCACATCAAAATGCAAGTTTCATTTGGGGTTAGATGAAGTCGTTGTATTGTTTTAGCTAATTCTCCTGAGTGTTTCACATGTTGCTCTGTTTCCCCCACAAGTGGCGTGCAACATTATAGCAAACAGTGTTTTTGTTGAGGCCAATCGGGTTTGTGCATTTTAGGCATGCAATAAAGCCTAGGAACGGTTTCAGCTTTAGGAAACAAATTCTCTTTCACTTGCAGTTATTTTTCAACCTGTTCAATTTGAAATATCTGAGTAAATACTCCGTTTTCATTCCAATGGATTTTACAAAAAATATATCAATAACTTGTCTTGTAATATACCGAAATTTGAATTTAGAATATCACAGGGTTGAGTTCAAATTTCACACATTCAATACTTTTGCTACCTGTAGTTTGATTTGACTCCTTGATACATTTTTTTTGGGATTGTGAAAATCACCAAAAGTAGAAATAGCGATACAATTTCTTTTTATTGTCAGATATATAGAGTACTACAGTGTTACGTCACAATACAGCGTGATACTACTCCATTGCTATTATGCAAAAAGCGATCAACCAGGCGCCATTTTCTCCACTGATAAACAATTGATCCCAATTTCTAACGTAATTATTAAGATGTTGTATCTTACTTTTCCTTTGTAAATTTTAATTGATGATTAAATGTGTTCTCTAACTAATATAATGCGAGCTTTTGTGTTTTTAGTACATTTTGATGGTAAAATATTAGATTTTAAAATGCCTATTTCAGAAAGCCTATAAAATCATTCAGGCGTAATGAACGGTAACCTACGTCTCTTGACAACAGAAGGCGCTACCTGGTGTCGTGACGACACAACTGTGGTACTCTATATAAACGAGAGCATCAATGATGCAGTAGCCCACTCTGCTTAAGGTTTGCATTTTTGACAGATGTGATTCACTGAAAAATTGTATATCTATGCTTTTATGTCTTTTGGACATGGTTCACTCAGTTATTTGTACTTGTTAGCATTACAGCAGGCCATAAGATGTTAAACTCATAAGGCAGTTTCAATAAAACATTTACTCATGATATTAAAATTCATAAGTTGGTTTCTTCCCCTTTCTTTTCCTCTTAAATATATCCTTGATAGATTTAATACAGAAAGGACATTTCCTGAACAATGGAAAAAGGCTAATATCTGTCCAATTCAGAAGGGGGGGGGAATATCTGTCCAATTCAGGGGGGGGGGGGGGGGGGGGCGGCAGCAAATTAATTGCTAATTACAGACCCATTTCTTTCTTTTCATTGTATCATTTCTCTTCAAACTACGATGCTTGTTTAATTTAGATAATTATTCTGCAAAGTTAAATTTGCTGGTTGTAAATAACTAGATGTTTTCTCTGGGGTAGAACTTGACTTGCAACAACGCGATGTTTCGTCCTACAATATGCTTATACATACGTGCGAACAGGTACGACTATCACCTGTGTGATGTAGTTTCGTTCAACTTTCTGATCGTTCAACCTTCCCGAATAAAATTAGGCCTACTAGTGAGTGTCCATGGTACGAGACATCTGTAGCTGGTCTGCTGATTTTGAAGGCCAAGATCAGGGCGATGCGGAATTGAGCCACAACATGGAGGCGGTCAGTGATCGCACAGTTTTAAAACGTGTTTTAATGGCTAATAATTGGTCTAAAAACATACGTATTCTATTTTATTCAGCTTAGGTACTAGGGCTAAGGATATGTGAAACAGTGAACTTAATCACTCTTCAAAGTGGCAATCCTGTCACAAGACAAGACAAACATACTGTACACACAAAATGCTCTGAGGCTTAGGGAGGTAGTTGGTTTGGAAGTGACAAAAAATCATGTTACCATGACAGGAATTAACTCAGAACCCTGGAGTTGGAAAGCAAGCATCTTAACCACCAAGCTATTCATACAAATTCACTGATGAGATGGTATGTCTTAAAGGAGTCACTTTACAAAAGAATAGAATGTTTATACCTGTATTCACATTACAACTCCGTATAAATATATTTTATGTGTTCATGTTAACCCCGAATTACAAATAAAATGAAAGTGTAAAAATTCCGAGTGGTAAATATGGGAATTTTTGCCCACTGAACCACCGACTGTGCTATTTGGTCCAAAATCTGTATATAATTTGCAATACAAGTATTTAAAGCCCAACAAATTGATATGATGACCCCGCGAATAGTATGTTACAGTATAATTGTGTATGCACCCTATGGTCATCATAGATGTTCAAATCTTCAGAAACCTACACACATACCTTATCTTTTTCAGGAGACTTCAAAAGCCACCCATTTTCATATTCAATACGGATTTTCAAGACAGAATCAGACTTCTGAATCAGCTCAAATTTGGCCTTGAAAATCTTTTTAATTCCACCAATATCTTTTTCTTCCTTTTCAACTACCTGATAAAAAATTATAGATAAATAAATAAATACAGCATTATTACAGTATAACTTAATATGGAGGGGATAAATCTATATGGAGTGGCACCCAAGTAGGCTTTCTGATGTACTGGAATTTTAGGAAGGACAGCATTGGTCTCTTATACACATCTAGATGTGTATAAGAGACAGGTCCGTTCTCGTAACGCACGGTGCCAGTCCAGGTGGTACG